TCAATTCTGTAGTGGCCTCATGAGGATATTGAAGAAGAAAAGGGATAGGGTGGATTGCTGGGGGATTTTGAAGGTAAGGGTCCCTAACGAGATGCTGGAGCCATTGCTGTGCTCTGCCACCTACTCTGTAGGATCATGGGAAAGTAGGACTGGAGGGGATTTCATAAGGTCATCTAGTCAAGCTCCTGCTCAAGGCAGGATCATCCCTTACTAAACCATCCCAGCCAAGTGTCTGTCCAGCCTAGTCTTGAAAACTTCCAAGGATGGAGATTCCACACCTTGTCTAGGTAGCCTGTTGCAATGCTTGACCACCCTTATAGTCAGAATGTTCCTCCAAATCTCCAACCTAAATTTCCCTTACTGCAATTTGAGGCCATCGCTTCTAGTCCTGTCCCCTATGGCCACCAAAAAAAGCCCATCTCCATTCTCTCTAGAATTGTCCTTAAGGTATATTAAGACTGTTATCAAATCCTCCTCAGTCTTTTCCAAGCTGAATAACCCAAACTCTGTCAGCCTTTCCTTATAAGTCTTACTTCTAATCATAACTGAGGCCCCTAAGCATTTTTACTGCTCTCTGCTGAACACTTTCTAATCTGTCCTTCTTGCAGCATGGGGTCCAAAACTGGACACAGTACTCCAAGTGAGGCCTCACCAGCACTGAACAGAGTGGAAGAATCACTTTCCTTGATTTGATTGCAGACCATTTTTTCCAGTCTGTCCAGGTTATTCTGGATCCTAGCCCTACCCTCCAAAGTGTTTCTAGCTCCTCGCAACTTGGCATCATCTGCAAATTTGCTAAGTGTATGCTCAATCCCATCATCTAAATCATTGATGGAGATGAAGATAGAGTACTTGCCAGGTTCTTTTGACCCAGGATTTATCAGGATATTAAAGACCACTGCTAGTCCTGCACTGAGTGTCAGTCGGTGGCATCATGCCCCAGGAATTGGGCACAACCGGTGCCTCTGCCCTTGGTCGGTACTCCCTTTGAATGGTTTGGCATAGACCTAGTTAGACTGTTGGAACCAAATGCAATTAAGTGTCATTTAATCTTTGTGCTCATGTATTATACTGCACAGTAGGCAGCAGTAGTAGCTGTCTGTAACACCTTGGCCCAAACAGTGGCCACATAGCTATTAAAAATATTTTTGTGTTTAGGTCTGCAGGAGCTATGGTGTTTGTCTCAGTGCTACAAGAAGTATGGACTCTTTTTAACAGTCCACCCTATCAGGACCTCTGGCTAGCATCCCCAGATGGATGGTCTGGTGGAAAAATTAAATTGGACTTTGAAGGGGATGTTGAGGAAGTATGTGGCACAAGGACCCTGGGAATAGGATACATTCCTACCTTATTTGCTATTTACTATCCATGAGATTTCCCCAATCCTCATTGGGGCTCTCTCCTTTTGAACTCCTGCACAGGAGACAACTCTGAGGCATTTTGGACTGTCTTCACAAGACCTAGCAGATGCAGGGCATGAGGTGTCATAATGTCATATAGTATGTACTTTGGCTGAATCTAGTCGGAGCATTCACCCTGGAGAATCCCAGGACTATGCACCGGACTCGAGAACCACATTGTTATAAGAATTCATGACTCTGCGTGTATTGACTTGGGACTGGGGATTGCTCCTCTCGTTAGAGAATGAAATGCTTGCTAAATGGTAGGGACCTTCCCTCTGAGATCAGAAGATGAGTTGGAGTGGTGGATTATGAAGTTCATGTGGAAGGGAGATGGCACAGGTCCCAGATGTACTGCATAAACCTCTTCTGAAACTGGTGAGCCTTAACAGCACATTCAGAAAATGCAGAAAACAGTTTGACTCCCAACCACTGAAGCTGCTCTGTGGGGAAAACCAGTCCACAGCTCATCAGAAAGAAGCAAGGTCCCTGCTGGAGGACTTTCCAGAAGCATTTACAACCTGAACAGGGAGTTAGCACCCTGATTAGTCATCAGATTGTCCTGAAACCAGGGTGTCCCATCCAAAAGGGGTTCTCCTGAGTATCAGAGCAAGTATCAGAAATGGTAAGAAAGGAAGTACGGAATACGTCACACGTGTGGATGTTTGAAGAATTGTCAAATGAATGGTGAAGTCTGATCAGATTTGGTTCCCAAAGTGGACAAGATGATCTGGTTTTGCATTGATTTCCATAAACTGAGGCATACCTTGTGCCCTGTGTTGTGTCGATGAATTGTTACAATAGCTGGGGAAGGCCACAAAGGTACTAACAAATCCGCCTTGCTTTGGAATTGTGAGAACTAATAGCATTCACTAGACCTTGGGGGTTCTTCCAGTTTAGAGCCTTCCTCTTTGATCTCCTTGGTGCCTTAGCCACATTCCAGTCTATAATGGATTAAGATGCATCAGCTGCACCAAGAGTATGCTGAAGCATATCTCAACAGTGTGGTAGTGTGCTTTTCAGGCACTTGTGAAAATCTGCAGCATGTTGGCAGTGCTGCAATCATTTTGGGCTACAGGCCTAATGTTGTACACAGCAAAATGCTGACTGAGCTGTACAGAAGCCAGATATTAGGGGTAAGTGCTAGGCAATGGGGAGTTTAGACTCCTTTTTGATAAAAGTAAAGGTCTTGGTAGAGTTCCCTGTATCAAATCCAAAAAGTAGCTAAAGTCTTTTCTTAGATTGGCAAGTTATTATCAAGACTTTATCCTGCAGTTCTCATCAGTTACTACCCCACCCAGAGCAGTGCAGTGGTCTCCAGCATGTGTTGGTGCCTTCAGAAAATAAAACAGATACTTTATACTACTGTGGTGCTGCAGTCTTGACTATGACCCAAGTCAGAAATTTATTTTACAGACAGCTTCCTCAGAGCAAGGCCTTGGAGATGTTTTCTCTCAGGACTTTGGGGATGGAAAACACATGGTCCTATATTTTAAGACAAAAGCTTTGCCCATGAGAACAAAACTATTCCATAATTGAGGAGTGCCTCACCATAAGGTGGACACCTGGAACCTTCAGCATTATCTCCTTGGAGCCCCCTCTACTCTGGTTACTGATCACACTTGTTACAAGTGATGTGGGCTGCCAACCTCAAACTGATGTGTTGTAGGTATTACAGTCCTATGCCTTTGACATCTGCCATCAACCTGAAGTTTTGCATACCAACACAGACTTCTCTGAACCAGAAGGTAGGGGCCTAGATTTAGAAAAGTGGGTCTTGGACTCTGCTTTTGGGAGGGAGATATGTAACTGGGTAGGCAGCAGCTAATCATAGGGAAATCAGCGAGTGGGAAAGCTTGTCTATCTTAATCAAATTTATTCTTAATTTGCATTTACATTTCTTAGTTGTTTTCTTAAATACGGTTTCATTCTTCTCTGGTTCTGTTTAAAAAAAAAAGTTTATTTGATTTAGTTCATTGTATGCTAAATATGTTACTTTTTGCTAACGAGCTATACTTTTTCTATGCACAGGTTTTTAAGAATGATATATTTCAGC